TTAATGAGCTCAAGGCTAGTATCGCCGCTCCGATATCTGCATATATGTTCACTCCTTTGAAGGAGGCTGTACTTTGGATCAGTAAATCTATTGTTACTTTAATGGCTGTAACCTCTGCCTAGAAGACACTGCAATAGTCGGAAAATCTGAAACTGGAGTTCATAGAAAGCTGCTGACAGTAGCGATACCTTTTGTGCTCTTTTTTTGATATTCGGTTTCCATGAAAGCCTTCTATCCAGAAACAACCCTAGATATGTCACTGTATCTACAGGTTGCAGACGGATGTCTCCCATTTTCGGCATCTTGTATCTACTGGTGAATAAAATCATCTACTTAAATTTCGTCCACCACGTGCGTTTTCCCATTCAGTTTCGATCCCTCTGAAGAAAGACTAAATATTAGGTCTTTGTGGTTTGATTCAACCCCAAGATCGTCCGTAGCAGTTACAACTACTTCCGGCAGAACGTTATTGAAAGCTCCCTCTATTACAAGGAAGGTCTCAACAGCGAGTTTCTTAATCCTAATGACTTCCTCAAGCCATAACGCGATAGTATGCAAGGGAGTATATACTGATTTGTCCTTGAAATAAGCATGTTGCTTCTGATAAATGGGCCCTCGGAATGCGCCCCATTATGTACCAGTGCATCAGTCTTTCCGTAGTTTTTAGTAAGAATGAGGAGCGGCTGATAGGTCTAAATGTCTTGGCGGTCACGTGAGAGCCCCTGCCTGCCTTCGGGATGTACGTGACTCTAACCCATCTCCAGGTCTTAGAGGATAATATAAGGTTTGCTTCATACTTTTTGTTAGCTATGTTGGCTATGTGGAGTCATAATACTCTTTTATTTAGAAATTCAAAACTGAACTGCTAGATTGGTTGTTCTGTAGTAGTTGTACTCTAGAATTTTAATGCCAATTAATGAAGATAATGTCTTTTGGTGGTAATAACATCATCATTTCAACATTTGTTGTGTTGAGCTAAGTAAATTACCGAAAATACAAACTTACCTTTAATACTTATATTAAAACTAGCAATTACATGTAATTAATGTAAGACCAACTAATTTAATTATTCGAGGAAAATATATTATTTATTCGATAATCTATTTCAATGCACATCATTCATACATTCCAAATGGTTTCTCTACATTCCATCAAAATGTTGCTTGGTCTTTGCCAATGCATTACTTCATTTCCTTGACATAGTTTCTTCCATTTTTTGTTTATTTTTTCTTTTGTTTTCTTTTTAATTATAATTATTTGTTTCACCTAAATTTCATTTATAACATAAAATTATCATTTAATTAGCTCAATTATGTCTTAATTATTGATTTCGGGTTGAGTTTTCGTATAGTCACTAAATAAATCCAATTTCATTAATTTACCGTCTATAGTTACAAAACTTAGTTGCTAGAATTTTGTTACGAATATGTAGAAGTATGTTTAATAATTACATTACTTTAACATATGTGTACATTAATATGTGTTATAAATACATACATATATTATAATACATAAGCACTTGTTGCTTATATACATGCTTGTCCTAGTGTTAGTATCTAATTTTCGTTAAGTCTTTTGAAGTAATTAGTAATCGCTAATGCCATACGGCTAGTGCCTGTTTGCAAATTTAAAATGAGTTTCAAAAAATTATTTTTTAAAAATAAAATATTGCACTTTCTGTTTTTAAAATATACTTTCATAGATTTTTAGGGATGAGTCATTTGAGTAAATCTATATTGTTTTTGCAAATGCTTGGGTTCCATCGAAAAATGTGCGGTTATATGCATTTTTTTCGAATTTCGGTATCTTCTTATCTTGAAACGAAAGTACGGAGTCGAGAACCCTAGACGTGATCGTGGCTAAACCAATTAAGGAGTGAATGTTTTATGGAACGATTATTATTATTATTATTTTTGTTTTTTGTTCTACTGACAATTCGCCAAAAAATTATAGCATTATAAGTAAAGTTGTTTCTTTTTGAAAAAGGCCGAAGTTTATGGAACAACAAAACGAAGTGCGCGCCCAAAGAAGCCAGATTAAACAGACAATTTAGTATAGTTAGGCCAGTATTGTGCAATGAAAAACTGATTTAGGGTGGCGTAAGTCAAAGTAGTTGAAATCCACATGTAATGGTAATATATGTGCTTTCAAAAAACCAACGGCATACTGAAACAATTTTTTTTTCTATGACTCACCCGGTGTTAGGAATCAGACGCTCTTGGCGCTACTATATGATGTTTGTATACATATACGTATCTTATTTTTGTTAAAATATTTTAATGTTAATTAAAATAAATATGCATTGTAATTATAAACGATTTTTGCAAATTTTTGCTTCTTTCTCTGCGCTAATTTCTATTTGCCCATAAATATGTAGTACTGTAATTTGTATATATTACATAAACGAGTGTATATTTACAAATACTTGCTTCTGCATAGAATTTCCACATATTTTAGCTTTCGAATGCAATGTAATAACATAATTATGCATATTGTACACGTACATATATATATATATATTGTTAAATCTATAATTACTTGCTATTATTTATACAATCACTCCTACCAGTACCAGTACCAGTAGCGCTTACAAATAATTCAAATAATTTTACTCTAATGCAACGATATTCTTTTTTTTCTGTATACATTTTCAATTTTATTTTATTTTGCTCTATTTCAATAATTATATATCTAAATCTGCAACTGATTATATTTCATATAACAGCGCAAATATTATTTGAAATATTTTAATATATGAAAAGTGCAATCGTATTTACAAATAATTCGGTTATGTGTTGTTGAAATTTTCACATAAATTTTACGTTCACGTTTAGGAGTTCAAGAGAATAAAAAAAAATTAATCAAATAAAAATGCATTAAAATTTTTAATTCAGAGAAGCCAGTCTCTAACATTTTCCTAATGTTTATTCCTCTCTCTGAGAAGCATAAAGTCGTATGCCGCGAATCGGGGCTTATGGTATACACTTAGCTCGGACTCGGACAAAGAACTGAGTATTTTCTCATATTGTTACACAAAATTACACACTTCACTTCCAGACGGTTTGAGTCTTTGAAATAGGAGAAAATAAAGAGAATACTATGAAATTCGACAAATCTCATTAATTTTTTCATTAATAACTTTCTGCTCAGTCTGCATTTGATTCTATCGATATTTTTTAGAATGTTTCCTGTCTAATATATCTCAAAGAAACTGAGAATTTGGTCTCACATTAAGCTTTATTACTTATGTACAGGGTTTTCCAGATTTCTTTTCAAAACCAAGTCACACTAATTTTTAATGAAATTCAAATCTTTGTTATTTGATCCGACGTACAATCGACACAGTTAAGTTCTGAATGTAACAACATTCAAATGGCCTCCACAACTTCTTTTACAGCAACGATTTCGATGAAAGCGATTTTCGAGTACTTACTAAAAATCCAGTAAATCAAGTCATATGTTATATTATATATTCAATATTGACTTCTGAAGCTTCTAGAAAATCTAGTTTATTGCTAAAGACCAATGACTACAAATAACCCCGCAAGTGGTAGTGTTATCTCTTAAATCACAATCTTGGAGGTCATTCAATGTCACAATTTCATGAAATAATCGAAGTTTTGTGTGGCGCGTAACACCGTCTTGTTGGAACCAAATGTTGTCGAGATCAACTTATTCCAAAGAAAGGTAAATAAAAAGTTGCTAATCGTCGATCTATTCCGCTCTCCACTGACAGTAACGGTGTCACCAGCTTCATTTCGAAAGAAGTACGGACCGATGACTCCACCAGACCAAAAGCCGCACCAAATTGTCAATTTAGTTGAATGCAATGGTTGTTCATGAATACTTTGTTAATTATATTTGCAGCAGAGTCGACAGTTTTGTTTATCTGTCGCACCACTCAAAAAAATTATCCACAACGGAGAAGCTGATTTTCTTAAAGAAATCTTTATCGTTAAGTTTCAAGTTGTTCCAACACAAAATCAAGAAATTCAAGACATTAATGGTGATCCAATGGCTACAGTGCTTATGTGAGAACAATTCTATATGGATGCAAGACCAAATTCATTCTCAAACTTCCACCATCCATTCTTGAGAACGTCTTGGCATCGACAAATTGCGGTCTTCAGTAACACTTGCCTGAGCGGCAATAATATTTTCATTACCTCAAGTGGTTGTTTGTCTCATGGTACTTGAATATTATGTAAAAAAAATTATACGCTCGATATTTTCAACAATTGGACGAATCAGGAGCACAGGTGGATGATTATTATGACCATAAATGGCAAAAGCGCATGAAAAGTTGCAATTGGAGAACGATTTTCATAATAAATTTGAGTAATTTGTGAACGTTATTCTTGCGTATAAATTTCCACGATGAAGTTTTAAATAATACTAAATACAATGAAAAGCAATTACAGATCCGGACATGTTAAAAATGTCCACAGCGACACTTAGACGTCATATCATCTTTATTGAAAAACCCGGTATAACACCAAGTGAATTTGTTATTGAAAATCTCGATAAAAATAATCTCCTGTAAACATTATAAGCTAGCATTATGTGAGACCTACTATAATAATAATATGTAATAGGAAAGTACTTTCTTACCTACTCTGAAATATAAAAGTACCAACGATTATTATTAACCTGCCATTTTGTAAGGATATTAGAGCGAATTTAGCAGCCGCAAGGCAACTGCATACCGAACATATATTATACATCGTTGACGGCTTAGAATCGGCCTAAGTCGCGGTGCAAACCGCATTTTTTATCTACCGGTTACTCAGGATCTTTTACATTATAAAAATGTCTAAAACAGTAAACTTCTCAAGAACAGTTGCTTAGGGTTGCGAGTTTTGGAGCTTAAATATGTTGAAAATATATATATTATAGCATAAATACAAATTAAATTCCTTTGAATTTCATCATTTTATAAACTCGGTGTTGATATCTGCATTTTGAATTTAACTGAAATCAATAGCCATACGCAACACAAAAACCACTTATTTAATTTATTTAAAAATTGTTACCAAATAAAATTCAACTTTTTCTTGAAATTACTTTGTAATTCCGTCACAAATCTCGCAATATTTACATACGAAGGTGTTTACCAGTTAACTTTACGGCTCCAGCAGCTTTCTTTAAGAAATCCATTTTGACTGAGCTTCCACATGGTTGTAAAATTTTTCTTGATTATTAAAGAGATCTGCAAAGAATTTGAAATAATGAGAATTTATATTGAATATAATATATATTTCTTTAAGGTTGTTTTAAAATTCAGTGTATTTAATATCCAAAACAAAATGAGATTTTTTATTATTTGTTGTGTGCAAAGTGTTTCTCTATTACCTATTTCTTACTTCAATTGTTTTCTTTAACTGCTTTATTATTCCTGTAAGAGTTCTCCTCTGGTTTGGATGGCTGCAATAAACTTACTTGTTTCCAATCTTTGTCATGCGTTTATTGAACATTATTTGAATAATATTTTCAATTATTTTATGAAGTCAGCTAAACTGGAAGGAGGCTATACTTATTTATAATTGATTCTAAGAAAAATGAAGAGCTTTAGACTCCTGCTATTGAAGACATATGCTTTAAGTTGCAAGTAAAAGTTACTAAGTATGCAACTGGCCAACAGCTCCAATATATCCAGCTCGATGACTAGCTAGTAGTGGTCTTTTTTTATACTTATATGACACAGAGTTGTTAACCTTTTCGTTGAACAAAAGAAAATCGCAGGTATCGCGGGCCTTCTTCTCATATATAACGGTTTTAAACTACGTTAGTTCAAATTTGGTCCACTACCATTTTCATACTATGATATAAACGATGGATACCATGTGTTTGTATACCATTGAAGTTACATACATATACATAGGTGATCAATTACGAGGTAAAGAAAAACACAGAACTTCAAACTTAATGAAGAATGTTTATTACCATTCGGAAGAACATTCTGTCGCATTTATTCTTTGAGTATTATCTCCTTCAAATATTGGCGTTGGCTACGTCTCAGAAAGCCCATCCGTTGAGTTCAACTTTCTATGACTCGTTCGAGCATTTCGACTGTTAGCGTAGTTTGTCTTGTGTTTTGCTTCAAGGTCTGAACCGAAACAGGATTGTTCTCATTAGCTTTTGACTTTACATGTCCCCAAACGGGACGTGGTCTATTTCGATCGAATAATATCCAATAATGAACGCTTAGTCTCAAGATGGGTGATGGTATTCAAAAAAACGTACCTCTACTTGGAAACCATACGCCACCAATGGCAAACGGTTTGCCAATCTCTTCTGCCACATTGCGGGATATAAACAACGTTTAATTCAAATTAAGGTAGATTAAATTCGGTTAAAAGCTCGATACTACAAAAATAATCTCACTTGGACAGCTTAGAACGCCGGTGCGTTGTGGGTTCATATGTATTACATCTTAAGACGCCTACAAATCGACCGAACTCTCTGAGTTTCTTCCAAATGCCCGGATGATTCCAACTCAGCCTCCTCCATACAAATTTTTCTACTAGTGTCTAACAAAATGTTTATCGCATAAATGCCTATTGGACAGTGTTCTAAGATTGAGTTCAACTCTAAGCCACAACCAACCCGCAGTCACACAGGAGCTGCACTTCGAAACAAAAGGACCCACACAAGAAGCCTTTGTAATGCTGTGATCCAAGTTTTCAGGAATGCAGTTGGGACTTTCGGCAAGCCCCTTTTTCGGACCCTGGTATTTCTAAAATAATTATTATTGAAATGACCCTCTCGAAATTAAACGTTGTTCGCAATTCGAACTTCAACTTTTATGACCGGCAGCTGCTGATTATATCGATTTTGGCATTACATATTCTCACATAAATATGCAAGTATGTGTATACTTCCAGCTAGTTATATGAAAATATTTTCATTGCCAGTTGTACTGTGTCAAACAGCCGTAAGTAACATTATTTATCTAATTTGGCCTCCAACATCTTCAATATCGGCTGCTGCAAAGTAAGGTTATCAATTTCTACTTTGCTATGTTATGAACCTTATCTAGTTTTTGCCTTCGTGCTGCTCCAAAGCTCTACCGCATCGATTTTCCGCACACATCTACTGGTCGCCCCTCTATGCTGCTCTCTCCAGCCGTTGTGCTGCTGTCAATGCCTTTTAGATTTTCCAAAAGTCACACATTTTTATGTCGCTTGCGGCAAGCTGTTGTTGTTAACACACCAACAACAACTCATGAGCTGTGCGTCGTTTGCAAGTGAACGTGTTGTACAAGAACAACAATAAAGGCGTTCATAAGAAAAACAAATCGTTAGAAAAACGCAAGCAATCGGAGCGCAGACAATCGAGAAGCAGTTGAGCAGCTAAAGTAAGGAGCTAAGTAAGCAAGCAGACAAATGCGAAGGCAAAAACAACAAACTAGAAAGAACAACCGAAAATTCGGAGAAAGCCAAATTCGAATTCAATTGTCAACAAATGTTGCAAATGTGGCACAATAGCAGCGACATGTGTGTTTGTTGCTATTGTGGCTGCTGATATCATTTTTACCCACAGTCGTGTAGCTACTAGGCTAAAAGCCTGGGAAATCACTAGCAAATTTGCTGTCAGCTGTGCAAAGACTGTTGCAGGAGTGCTGGAGCAAAAAAGTGGCAGTTATGAAAAAAGTTTTGCAAATATGTGGCCCGTTGCACATACGTACTTATACGTGTGTGTGTAGTGGTATGATTGCTGCTGTTTACCAACCACAGCTGTGCATGTATTTTTAGCGTTTTCTTCTTGACTGTTGCTGCAACTTTGGGCGTTATCATTTCTATTATTATTTCAACTTTTTTCATTTTCGTTGTTGTCACTGTTGTTGTTGTTTTTATTATTTCCTAAATTTAAATGCAATGGACAACATTCTGCTGGCAGCTTGCACAATTCACAGCTGCCTTAACAAATCCCAACTGCCGGATATGCAATCGTACATGGTCACACTAACACACGTTCACACACACCCACACCCACACCAATGCATACAGTCAAGATCATGCTATCACCAGCTGCGCTAATATGTGCCAGTTCATAATTTCCTTTTTCTTTTTCTTTTCTTCCTTTTATTCCCTTACCAGGAAGTTGGTACCACCGAGGAGGAAATGTCGAAGACCCTATGAATTATATAGTATATACATACATATACATATGTTTATATTATAGTATTATATTATAAATAATCAGCTTGAGAGCTGAGTTTAGTCAAGTCTCTCTGTAAATACATGCTAGCTCTTGAAATACTGTTCTGAAAATTTGTACAAAAACGTTTGTTCCCATGAACTATGGTGGAACGGCTTCTGTAGTTAACGCGGAGCAAGTAGTCGTATAGGCAGCATGGGTTCATGAAAGGACGCAGTGTAGAGGATGCATGGTTTCATGTTTGGAATGTCGTCAGAGAGAATGTCAACAAGCATGTCCTTGGCATATTTGTTGGATTTAAGGGGGCGTTTGACTACATAAACTAGGACTCAGTGGTGCAATTGCTGGCGAAGCTTGGCTGTCCGGCAATCACTCTTTGGCGGAGTTGCTTTTCGGACAGAAAAGCCTCTCTAGTCAGCGTGAACAGGAGTGTGGAGATTGGAGTGGTTCGTAGCTGCCCGCAAAGTTCCATTTTTGGTCCATATATTTGTAACCTTATGATGGACTCCCTGCTTGGGCAGCTCGAACCACTCTGTAAGTGTTGTTTGCATGCTGAAGACATCTTCTTCGCTCGCGGTCTGAGCTAGAGCGGCTGGAGGACATCTCAACCTGCTCATGTGACTGGCGCCTCGGGGAGTATCGTGGTATAATCTGCGAAAATATTGTAAAGTTCGGACAACAAACCGATACATATTAAGCCCCTATAAGCTGTTCCCCCACAGTCGAGTCTACCTAACCGAAATGGACCCGGATTTTTTTCTGGTTAAGGACTGTCAACTCGCCAAAATTCTGCCGCTACAACAACATGTCCCTACAAGCAAAACATTCTTATTTGACAAGATATCTTAACGCATTTATTTCACTGATCCAAGATAATCATACAAGCTCTGAGTATATTCTTCAGATCGGACCACTGTAGCATATAGCTGGTAACAAACTGACTTATAAAAAAAAAAAAAAAAATAAATAAATAAAATAAAAACAAAAATTCTTTGATGAGCTTTTTTGTTTGATAAATTTACCAACAAAATTATCTTAGCGCATAATATCGCTATAATTCCCGAACATATAATTCCGATCGTAAACAAATGCACTTGTGAAGGGTATTGTATCCTCAATATTGCCGAGGCTAAGCTTTTTCCCTCTTTAGATTCTTGCATTTTGTTGTTGCTGCAGCGTGTGTGTGCGAATTCAATTGTCATTTGTGTGACTCGTCGAGGAAGGAAGGGGGGCGGGGTGGTTAAAACTGTCAGCTAGTGCTGTAGCTCAGCCGGTAGGGTTAAGGCGTACTGCTGCTGTTTGCTGCATTGCGAACACACACTATCTTAAATTTTACTGTTGTTGCTATTGTTGTTGTATTAAGTATTTTTCTAGCAGCAAATGCAATTCAATTCAAAAACTCATCACCAAGTCAGTGAGACAAATTTCCATTTAAAGTGAGTTTGCTCGACGAGAAAAACGTCCTCGGCACACTCTTACACACACACACTCTCACACAGGGTGTCAGTCGCACATTCACACATACACAGAGTGATCTGCACTTATGTAAATTCAATAAAGCGTTGTGTTGCAAGACCAACACTTTTGCGCTCTAATTCCTCCTCTCCGGCGCACACATAGTTTAATCCTTTTCTGCAATTCTTAGCATTCAAATTGATAGCAATTTGATTCACTCACTTTGTGCTTTGTGCTTTGTTTTCATAAGTGTTATTGGATATGTCGAGGCAACAATGCGTAACTGTCATGTGGCGTCATGTGGCGTCATGTACGAGTGTGACAGTGACAAGTTGGTGCGCTGCCAACAGAGCAGGAAATGTGCAGCTGATCAAATACCAGTGATTCGAATGATTTATTTTCCGTTTGCCAACATTGGCTGTAGCAGTTGCAACAAATTGGCTATGAGATCATTGCAAGGCTGAGCGGAGAATATCAATTTCATGCCGCAAATGGTTTTATTTCAAAATCTAAAATACACAAACATTATTTAAGTTATGCTAAGGGCAAGGTATAACTACAAGTGGGCAATAAAATGTCTACAAAAGGTTCAGA